CGATTAGTCGACTAATCGAAAAAATAATAGGTGATTAATTGATTATAAAAATAATCGTTTGTGGCAGCCCTACCTGTGACCACTGGTTCATGCCCAGTGAGAAACAGATTTTTTTGAGCTAAACAGACTCACGTCATCAAACAGGTCGATGGGTCGGTAGGGAGGACCCCTCTCTGACACGAAGCCTGCGAACGCCATGCCATCCAGCACCTTCATGAGGAAGTCGTCCTCTGTCAGCGCCCTCTGACCCAGGAAGGCTGCCTGTGGAAACACAGCTGACTGTCAGCTTCTCCTTTTTATTACGTCTCAAGACAAAATAGAAAACTATTTATATTCTTTCTGTTCCTGTACCTTATGGAAGCGGATCACAGGCTCTGGGTGAATGCGGATTATATGTAAACACCAGCGGTAGCCCTGGAAGAGTCGAGCAAACAGCCACAGGAAGACCGCTCGGATTTCCTTATCCTGAAACGAAGTGACGTGAAGATGAAGTGAGCTGCTGGACTCTCAAAACATTACCGTCTCGTTTCAACTGTTTTTCTCCATGTCAAGCAGGAAAACAAAACAAGACAGAAGCTTCTGCCTGACCTGGATCTTGAGAGCAGAGGGTTGGGTTGATTGTGGAGGGAAGGCATGATCTGCAACTTCCAGCTCTGGGTCCAAAACCTGCAACAGGAAAAAAAACGTGAAATCCTGTGTCTGTCCCTCTGCTGTTCCAACTCATGTACAGAACTAATGTAGAACAAAGAGAACATGGAAGCTGCAGAAATGAAGTCATCCTTAGATCAGTGAAGTTGTATTCAGTACGTTCTATGTTTATATTTATTGTTTAATTTGGATTAAAGTTCTTTTCATTCTTATATTTTATGTTGYAACCTGAAAGTGTTTCTTTTTAGAGGCTCTTTTTACAAATCTGCTCCAAGTTCTTACAAATTCAAAGTTTAGCGTCATTTCTGATTTGACTTCTTTCATTAAAAGTAACCAATAAAAATGTCAAAACTTTACCATCACAAAGTATATTGTAAGAAGTAATAAACTAAGGTTATCATATCTGGATGAAGATATGTTTTTAAAGCTTGTAGGAAATAAAACCAGTATTTCACTGGGCGGCGGCTGCTGAAATCAAGTTGGTGACTTTAAACTGAGAACATGTTTTCTGTTGCAGGCTCACTGACAATACTCATACAGTATGTTTTACATTTATCCAAAGAGGCAGGGAGGTTAGTCCTGAGTGACATCAAGAGCTCAGTTAGTCCCAGGGTGACCTGTACCAGGGTCTCCGACCAGAGGCGAATCCTGAGAGAGTGAGTATCAGTCACATGGAGGCAGTGCTTAAAAGCCTGAATTTTGCCTGAAACTCTCAGACTGAAGAAGTCTCTTGGAGGAGAGACGAAACGTTTCATTAGAGAAGAATCCGTCCAGAAGACCTACACAATTTTTTTTTTTAATTTTTTACCTGGATTACTGAGATGCATCAGGACATTTTGAACCATTTTTTTGAAGAAAGACCATCCATCATTAAACAGAGGTGGAGGCCTCCGCTTTCAGTTGTCCCCCTCCTACAGCGCTGTTATTGCCAGTATCATTCCACCCCCTGTTAACAATAGGTGTTAATTAGGTGTCAACGATAGCCATGTGATGTGAGTATCAGTCACATGGAGGCAGTGCTTAAAAGCCTGAATTTTGCCTGAAACTCTCAGACTGAAGAAGTCTCTTGGAGGAGAGACGAAACGTTTCATTAGAGAAGAATCCGTCCAGAAGATCTACACAATTTTTTTCTTTTTAATCCTGAGAGACTTGATTTATTGGAAATAAAATAGTTCAAAATAAACATTTCCAACATAAAAATCACCTTTTGGAACTGATTAAAGTTGTAATCAGATGTTCTGGTAATTTTAAGTGTTCCGATTTTCATTAGTGCTCGCTTTAGTATTTTGTTTTGCAAACTAACCAAATTAATATATTTAAAAATGTGGTATCAGTGCCTCTCTAAATATTTTATTCTCTGAGTCACCAAACTAAATCCAAAGGAGAGCAAAGTGTTTAAGCTCTGGTTTATGGTTGCTGCCCAATGGATCATCTGAATCACTGAACCTAGCCGAGCAATTTACCAAATTACCCCCCGTCCCCGCATCAGCTTTCAGKTTTACAATTACCCGTTCATGTGTCACTGCACAGTAAACAAGATCAGTTTTGTTGGCAAGATAAGACCATCAGCTGGTTTCCTCTGTTTGACTGAAACCTGGCAACAACAAATGGACTTTTAACAACTTAATGACTCCACTCCACCTGGCTTTGTGTACACCTTTCAACCCCACAGCACYGGTCGCAGCGGTGGTCCAGTGAGAATTTATTGTGAGATGTGGAAAGTCCTGCCTGTGTCAGTAGGCCTACCTACTGTTAGTTTATTCAAGTGCATTCTGTGTGAACTGWCTGGACCCACTCCCACCACCATCGTTTGATATCGCCCACCATGGTCTTTTACTGGGAGACTTTAACATTCATATTGTCCGTATATATAATAATAATAATCAAGTTAATATCCTCAACTCTCCAGCCCCAGTTAAAACAAACCCCCCAGGTTTACTCCTGAACTTGGGTCCATGAAAGCCCAAATTCATCAACTGGAACGATTCTATAAAAAATATTTTACCATCCACAATATTTTAGTCTGTGCTTCTTATATTGATTTTTTATTTTGTTTTTAATTATATGGTTAAGCTTACAGGAAACAACCTGTCAGAATATGGATCAGGGTCCACATAGAGACCTGCTGGCTACAGACCAAACTTGTCATTAGGAGCAAGCATCACACCACACAACAATCTCCAGGTTTAAAGTCATACAGTACACAGGTCAGCTACTGAGAGGAACAAAAACATGGACAACCCTGAATTTCACAACAACACAATATTTTTATAAATCTATTTTTTGTCTTTAGATCTGGGGAATTTGGTAGATGACCCGGTCAGTGGACCCTAGTTCAGGGTGTTTCTAAAAAAGACTTTGACACAGAAAATATGCTGGAGATTTACAAGTATTAAACTGAATACTGGAACAGGGAAAAAACTAAAAAATTGTGCAATCAAGGGTTTTAGCATAATCATTGCCAATTCTGTGTAATAAGAACACATTACAACATAAAACTAAGCAACAAATATTATAAGAGAATTTGCATTTTCTGTGAAAATGCAAAGTGAATTTTTAATGCTGAAAGTGTTTTGCAGGGGGAAATAAATGTAAAAAAATTTTGCAATTTGTGGTAAAATTTCCAAAAAAGCTGAAATTAGCAGTAAAGTAGCCAAGAAGTAACTGAAAAGCTGAATCTAGCGCAAAGATGAAAAAGGAGAGCGTGTTTGTTGAATTAAGCTGCTGAAAAGCACAAAAAATATAATTTGCAGAATAGTTGAAAAGTGCAGAAAGATAGCTGAAAAGCAAAAGAAAAGGCATAAGAAGTGGAAAAAAAAGATGAAGAATGTCAAAATAAACACAAAGAAGTTAAAAAAGCAGAACCTGAACAAACGGTGAAAGATGCAGGAAAGGAAATTTTGAAGGGTTTTAAGGATGTTGAAGAGAGATCCATTCATTTTTAATGAAAACAAAAAGGGCCAAAAAGAGTAAATATCTCAAAAAGTATATATTGAAATACCAAAAATCATTGCCGGACTGTCCTGAAGGAACTTGATATGTGAAATGTTGACATAACACAAAWATAGCAGAACAACATATGCTGAAAAATATATGAAGGAAGAAAATGGATCATCTCATAATATTCACACAATAAGAGTCTTGACAAAATAAATGTAAACAGTTTCTGTGATATACCTTTAAGACCCCTCCCCTTCCCCTAAACGGCAAACCCTACTCCACTTAAGGGTACTGTTTATTTTCTATCCAGGAACAGAAGTCAGTGTAGTGACACAGGTAGATATGAACAACACGATTTCTTGATTTCAGTCTTTCTCAAACCTTTTTTTGACAGGCGTCTCTTTAGGTATAACACCTGTCCTGCATCAACATCACTCACCTCAGCTCCTTAAATGAGTGTGACAAACAGCTGTTTCATATTGTTTTTAAAACATCATAAATTAACTCAGTTTAATAATTTTCATTAAAATCCTCAATTTTAGCAACAACTTCTCTCTCTATTTTCCAAGCTTTCCCTCTGTTAAAGAGAAAAACAACCAATATAATCATGAATGGATTTTTGGACATGATTTGTGTCATGTCAAGATCACGTTGGGGTCACCAATTTGTAAAGAATTTTATATATTTGAAGCCTGGATGACATGCAGAAAACCGATTCAGTTCTCAGTTACATGTTTATTTTCAGATCTAAAGACTCCAGTTCTCTCTGAACCTCTCTGTGGCTTCAGAGTCTAAACCAAAGCTTTGTTTACACTTCATGCAAGACGTGTGGCTGCGGCCCAGTGATGACGTAATGGCGTGTGTGTCACCGACAGCAYTGAATGCTTATACTGGTAAAAGACGTGGGGGATACATTATAGTAATCCCTCCCTCTGCCCTCTCACAGCATATATCACACGCATAGCTTAGCATGTAAATAACTGCTAGTTGCAAAAAAAACTGCTAGTTGCGAGTTTAGCTTGTTGGTTCAACAGATGCGGGAGATGGACGAAGAAAAACACTTCTCCTATTTTCAAATGTCCGCTGCTCGTTTCGACGAACTTGCCCACTGGATCTTTTTTTTTTCCCCCACCGGATCTCCCCTCACCATCAGCATGCAGCAACGCAGTAGAGGAGTCACAGATTGTTGTACCTCCGGACCACCTCAGTGAGTTTCTCTTCGAAACTATCCATGTTTAGAAACAAAAACCGGCCTCTGGTAGCGAGTAGYGGGTAGCGGTGGCACACAGCACAAAAACGCCCACAAACTTTGAACCAATCACACGCCTCGAGCCGCATCCTCCGCGTCTCGGAGTGCTGACTGGGGGCAATGCACAGGACAGCTGTCACCGGGGGGTCGCAGCAGGAGTGCAGACGGAAGTTGCGCAACTTTTTTCACTCAGCGGGTGGTAAAAGACGTGCGACAAGAAGTATTAACCAGCCTTGAGTGGCAGCAAATCACGTTTCCCTGATCACACCCCCTGGGGGTGGTCTCTCTTACGTCAGCAGTGGAATGCTGAAAAAGTAACAACATTACACAAACGTTGTTCTTACACTGCTGGAGCGAGGCACATATTAATTAGAGACTTGTTGATTCTCTTACTGTTTAAAATAAATGACTACAACTGACCACTGAGTATAAGATAAATCTGTCACAAAATATCTAACAGATATGCATCCCTAAAATAGGTCCAGAGAGCAACAAGGTGTTGCAAAACTAGTTTTTTTCTGGCCTCGGGACCCTCAGGGGCCCACACCCCACAGTTTGAGAACTACTGCTTTAAGTGTTTGTGTTGGTGAGCTCATCTGCCCCCCAGTTCCAGTTCCAATAAATGTGGGCTGACCGGTCTCTGGAGAAGACCCTACATCCATGTGGTTTCAGTCAAGACAAAATCACCCAAGGGGGTCCACACCCTGCTGACAAGGACCAGCAGGATCCTCAATCTGCCAACTTCTCAGTTTGGTGTGTAAATTATCAAAGGAATATTTTAGATGTATAAAATCTTATAAACAGAGAGAGAGAGGAGAACAAATATCCCAACCCCTCTGTGATTCAGCACAATGCAACAATTAGACTGGTTAGAATGGCATGACATTTTCTTCATGCCTGAACTTAGCAGATATCTTAAAACCCTCTGACCAGTTTCAGCTATTTGTGTTAGAAATAACTGTTTAAATATTGAATGCCCCAAACTCTGAGAAACTAATTATATAAACAAAATAATCCTGCAATAAAACTCTTCAGAATTAATGCATCAGATCATTTTACTGTTTTCCAAGTAGATGTTTTCTCAGAATCAGACAATAAATACTGCTGTGGGAAGACTCTTCTTACAGCATCCTAACACACATTTGCTATGTCTAAGTTAAGAATGCCAACTCGAGCCTCAGCCAAATAAACAAGTCTGAAGCCAAATAAACACATCTGACCTTTGTCTTCAGAAACATGACAAGGGCAGAAAATCCAGAATTATGCAAGCAGTTTGGTTTACAACAGATTAATCAGCCTTCTTTTGTAAAGAGAGAATATTCAGGTGATACAATCTTTTGAATGTGACTGTGGTTACAACATCAGCAAACTGAAAGGACTACACTTGCAGACAGGTAAAGATGTTATTGTCCACCTTCATTTGTGAGCATTGTGGTTTTACAGCAGCTTGTCCTCAGTAGGACTTCACATTAAAAAGTTAAAATTTGTGAAAAACAACAACTTTACATTAAAGAAAGGATGCTTCTTACCAAAAGCTAACCCTAATGCAGAAACACTGTATGAAAAGCTGCTGTTATTCTGTGAGATGTCATAAGCTGTTTCACTCTTTATAGCTTGTGTCAAACTCCAGGCCTGCAAACCAAATGTGGCCCATGATGGCATTTTATATGGCCCAGAAGAGTTTCAAAGATGTTTTAATAACTTAAAATAAGCAGAAGCTGCTTTAAAGCCATCAACTACATCTCCAATAATATATGTTGATTATTTATGTTGATACTTTTGTTGCAGCCTAGTTATACTGGGAAGTGAGAATTTACCACTTAAAAGTAATAAATTAAAACTGGAAAGCCCCTCCAGTGGGAATTCCCTGTAGGAAAGTGGGCGAGTTTAGAACTAAAGATGACTGCTACTCACCACATTTCAACATTGAGTAAAACACTCTTATTTTTACAATTAATAGTTAATAAGTTATTTGTTTTACAAAGAGAATAGAGAGAAGAGTTGCCAACTGTCCCATATTAGCCAGAATGTCTGTATTTTAAGCCAAATTGAAGTATCCTGTGGGATGCTTATTCTCCTGACTACAGCCTGTGTCAGCCTCTCTGCACGTTATTTACTTCACATTTAGTCAATAGTACACATTAGTACTTTTTAGTATTTATAAGAGGACGAGTTAAAACATTGTTTCTATGCAGGAAATACAGTATCATGTAGAGCGCAGTTAATGATTGTTAGCATAGCAATGAGATGACGAACAGGACACTTCGTGTTTCKTCGAAGTTAAACACCAAATCCTGAAGTTAATCACAACTGGTCCTTTGAAGGCCACCATAATGCCCATGATGCCCTCAGTGAAACAGTTTGACATTCCTGATTTATAGTACTGTATTGCTTCAGTTTGCTGATGTCACCTGATTGAACAAACAAGTTTTAATTTTCTCTTACTGCAAATTAGTATGTTGTTTAAAAGCCTATTTTCACTGTGACAAGTATTTTAAGGTATGTGTGTGTGTGTGTGTGTGTGTGTGTGTGTGTGTGTGTGTGTGTGTGTGTGTGTGT